CACAAGCTCCAACCTGCCCCTGACGGTGCTTCACCCGGCTGCGGGAAGGAGTGCCTGTGCGATGGGGGTGGGGGGGGGCGCATCATGAGGAAGGCATGTGAGATCATCTCTCAGAGGACAACCTCTCTGACTGCAGAGGACAAGCTGAGTGGGAGGCCTGGGGGAACCTGAGTAGCTGTGACAGCTCCCGTCAAGTTAGACTGTGTGGGAAATCGTTCTCCTGTCTCCAAACACCCGCACCATCCCTTCTAAATCCGCAGTGTCTCACTTTGTGCCACTGACAGTCAATGTGGGTGGTTTCACTGCTTCCTAACACAGAAAGCGCCACTCCACGTGCAGCAAAAATTAAACCGGAAGCATCCTGGTCCAGAAGTAGACATACCCTTCTGTGTACCTGCGCCTGCTCTGCTCCCTCATAACCTGCACTGATCCGCCCTCCAACAGCCACCCAGCCCCCTTCCAGCTGCCCTGCCCCTCAGAGGAATACCCCAGGCACCTTTCCAGGAACGGGCAAGCAGAGACATAAGAACCCTGACTGTATAGGCTAGCTTTTCCCAACCCGGCAGCCCTCGGAGGCATTTGGACCGCAGCTCCCAGAATTCCCATCCAGCAGGGCCATTGACTGGGAATTCTGGGTGTTGCAGTCCAAACCCTGGAAGGCACAAGGTTGAGGAGGGCTGGTATAGGCTAAACAGCAACCTTCACATGGACGAGCTGAATGCCTTTGTAGGGCTCCCATCAACCTCAGATAGGATTAAGACGGATGCTCTTTGTTTCCATCCAGGTCAAGGTCCTATGGATTTAAAAGTAGGGTACAGAATCAGCCAAGATGCCCCCACTCAACTGAACATCTACAGCAGACCAGGGCATCGTACAGCCTGCGGGCCACATCCGGCCCGATGGCTGACCCTGACTGGCCCGCATGAGGTCACTGGCAAATTAAAAGTCAATGCAAATATAGATCATTGTAATATAGATGCAAGCAATACAACTGCACTGCTTTTATTTTGAAGGATCTGCTAAACTGAATTGAATTTATTGCTTTTCATGTAATGTTAATGTTTTTGTGAATATTCATTAAATAGTGTTGTTCTGTGCTCCACATTTTCATTGTATCATTGTAATGTTACTGTTTTTATAGATATATATATATTGAGCAGAGCTGTAAGTGTATTGGTCCGGCCCTTAACAACTGTCAAAGTTTCTCATGTGGCCCCATAGGAAAATTAATTGCCCACCCCTGATGTACAGACAAATCCAGCAACAAAAAGAAAAAAAGAGTTGGGGGTCCACTGTATGGCACATTTTGTGACTCTTTTCGGACCTGCACACTTCAAGAGGACCTAACAACGCAGGAACACCAGGACACTGGCAGTAGAAACCGCTCTGCAAATCCTCACCCCAATCTGATTCTCAGAAGGTTTAGGCTATAGGACATCAGGGATAAAAAAGATGGGAGGGAAGGAGGGACGGACCCCTCCTTCCAGCCGTGAACTACTCTGCCCCCTCGGACCACCACTGCATACAGGGTGTTGGCCATCGGACAAACCGCACTTCTGAAGGGGCTTCTGAATATTCCCAGGAATATTCAAAGCAGGTCACTGTTATGAAATCCATGCTGCAGACCTGAGCCAGGAACGCCGAGGTCAAAAAGGCAGCCACTGGCTTCGAGGCCACCTAATCAGCTTATGGCCAAGGGAAGACTAGCACAAAAGGCTTCCTAGCCATCGGTGACTTCTGCGGCTTTCATCACTCACACGCCGCCAGTTATTTCCTTTGGGCTTTTATACCAGCCTTCAAAATAATGCTTCCCCAGGGCCCCTTGTCCCCGCAAATAAAAACGGAGTCGAGAGGCCCCTGCCTGCGTTTCCTCCCTCTGCTCCTCTAATCGTTGCCATGTTCGGCAATGAAGGGGGCATTCTGTGCTTCATGGTGTACAGGTGGCCCCTGTGCCCAGCTCCCCTGTGGGGAAAGAGGTCTCTCTGCTGCTTCAGGCTTTGGTGAATGACTGCAAGGAGGTGCAGGTGGCACAGCGCTGTTGTGGCCGGGGCTACGGAAGGCGGCATCTGATTCTTCCGCCGGAAGCTGCCTTTCCAACTCTTCCAAACTGCTTCAGGGCAGCAAGTCCCCAACCAGGGCGGCTGTACATGCAATCGGGTGACGATGAAGATGGCTTCCGGACCAAAACACACGCCCACAGAACTGAGCACATCCGATACCAACCAAGCGACAAAGTGAATCTGCCTTAATCTGATTTTGCTTCCTGCAAGCTATTCTTAACTTGGTGATAAACTCGTGTCCTTTTAATCAGGCCCTATAAATGCCACATTTCCACAAGAGATAGACAAATACACCTTCACATGTGTTAAGAGAGTCAGGAACACAGGAGGTGGCAGTCTTTTAGCCAAGAGACCTTCCCCTTTGCTAAAGTTTTCGATACTAAGAAGACCCAGGAGAAAAGGTAGGGAAGATGCTTCCTCCCAAGCATCACTCAGCTGCAAAGCATCTTGGAAAATGGGATTTCTTGATATACATAATCAAATCACGTTCATTCTAACTTAGGCCCAAAGCAAAGGACACAGGAGCCTGTTTCTACCAAAGCAAAAATACAAATATCAACATAACTGGAGCAAAGTGATTAAGATCATGAAGACCATTGGAACAATTATGAAGTAATATCCTGAAAAAATTAATCAAGGAAAGGCTGTTTGCTGAGAAAATCCCGGTTCCATTCCACGGAAAGCCAGTTTCTTTGATCTGAACAGCATATACAACGTCACATACATTTGGCTTCCTACATAATTAAGCCACAGAGAATGCCTGTGGCTTAGCAGCAGAGGCTCCCCTTTGCATGCAGAGTGCCCCGGGTTTAACCTTGCGTATCCAGGCTGGGCTGGAAAAATACCTGCTCGAGACCCTGCAGAGCCGCTGCTGCCAGTCAGCCTCCTAAGTACTGAGCTAGAGACACCGAAGGCCTGACTCAGGAGCTGCCTTGGGATCCAGGTGGGTGCAGGGAGGAAGGACATCTAATGAGCTCCCCTTATTTCCAACCCTGGCAAAACAGCTCAGGAGAGGCCCAGCAGGAAGGGCAACCACAACCGTGTCTTTAAGAATCATGCTTAAGTCCCACTCAGCTTCTCTCTGCTTTCCAAGACTGAAGCACTAAATGTCCATTGTGAATCACGCTTTGAGCGAAAGGCTATAAAATAATGCTGACATACGCTAATCCTTTAAAGAAAAGCTGTGTTTCTGAGCATGTGAGATTCTGCTCTGGAGAATTTCAGTTCACGGTGCGATCACAAGAGAGATTGGATGCTAGCCCTAAGGACTAGCATCCAAAGCACAACTTCACATCTTGAATTATTTCACTGCCTTTACCCAATCGACCTGTAGGGCAAGTTCATTAAAAACTTGTGGAACAACCATGTCAGGCAATGGAATCTGGAACACGTACTGGCTGCGGACTCCAAACTGTCAGTAAGGGCTATAGCGGGCTTCACACAAAGACCCCCAGTGGGCAATTGCACTCGATTTCCCAGCCTGGACATGTATCCATGCACAGCAAAAGTGTAACCAAACCGAGATGTGCTGCTGATCACGTGGGCCCGATGCCGTGAGCATCGGCTGATATTTTACCAACCCACAGACTTGGGCCAAGGCAGGCGACAGATAAAGCCCTCCTCTTGCTCAGGAACAAAATCTGTCTTTCCCCTGTATCTGCAGGCAACCACATTAAAGCAGGAATATTCTGTCAGAAAGGCAACATGCCCACCAACTATAATTATGGCACAACTACATGACAGCTCTGACGGAGGATGGGAACGACGTTCCTGGGATTTTTCCAGCAGGGGTAAAAGCTAGCTGCCTCCCCCACTCATTCGCAAGGATCGTGACCCACCAGGAGGCTCCTTTGCCAGGGCTCACTAATATGAATTGCCTGAGCCCACGTGCAGCTTCTGTGCACTTCAGTGGGTTCCACAGAAGCCAGGACACTGTTCCCCAGGGGTCAGGCCTGTTTGTCTCCCAGGTGCTGCAACTTTTAACAGGGCCTCAAATTCGCCGCATCAAAGGCCTATCGCTTCACTGCATGGTTGTTTTTAAAGATCCCATTTAACCAGGGGCATTGCTTCAGTCAGGTACGATCAAGTCAAATGTCTGACTGGATATATCCACCAGAGACTGACGTGCATAAAGAGAAGACAAACCAGAGGTCAGTCACTTATCCTGCAGTGGTGGAAGGTGACCTGATTTTGTCAGAAGCGTTCAGGCACGCTGTACTTTTTCTTAGATGAATGCACGTATCTTGGCCTGGGCGATCGCGGCCCCGCCAATTCCAGGTGCGGTTTCTAAAAGGGGGATTTTGCGCCTTTCCCCCCAACGGCCTGGTCCGGCAGACCAACCCGCACTCTTTCCTCAGGCAGCCAGTCCAATATTTTTTAAAATAGACGTTCCAAGCAAAGCCTTGTCTTTCTCGCCTAATCAGGCCAGGCAGCCTAGCTAACCAGTAGCAGCCTCATCTGTCAAAGCTGAGTCAAGAAGATGGACTCTCACCTGTCCCAAGGCATGAATGTCAACATTAATTCTGAGCAGGGGGGAGTTCTGGAGCCCCCAGAGAGAGCAGATGGGCTTTGCTCTCTCGCTGCTGCTCCTGCTCGGTTTGGCAGCCACAGGAGGGGAGGAAAGAAAAGCTAAACTGAGAAATGCCGACCAATCTAACGGCAAAACCAAGGGAATAATATGCAACGACTCATCATTTAAGAATGTGTTCTGGATTTACCTGTTTGCACAGTCACAACATGTGGCGGTGTGTCGCCTTGCGAGAAAAGGGGACCCTCCCACCACCACAAGCCCTTTGGAAGGTGGCACAGCGGACTGACGGTCGCGCCCTCCCAGCAAGCGAGGGGGCGCTGTCTGCCCCCCTAGAGCAGCCCAACCCGCATACGAGCAGGGAGAGGGGAGATCCCAATCTGTGCCGGACGCGTGGCAGAGGCGGCCCTCACCTTGTAGACATCACCGTACGTGCCGCTCCCCACGCGCTGGACGAGCTCGTAGTCTTGCTGTGGGTTCCGGCGCATGATGTCTCCACTTGACCGGGCCAGAGCATCCATAGCCAGTCAATATGCTCTCCGCTCCCCCCACAAGGGGGAACAGGAGAGGAGCGCAGCTGGGTTGTCTTCCCCTCCTGGATTGCCGGCACCAGGTAAGCGATGCCCTCGGGGTCCTAGCGAGGATACCTGCGCGCCACACGCATGGCTTCAGTCCACTCTTCTTTGGTCCTAAAACATGAAAAGGGAGATTCACCTGGATGCAATTTCTTCACAAAAGGAGAGGCTAATGAGGATGCTTTGGAGCGGGGGACAGAAAAAGCAAACGAACTGCTCTTCTCATTCATTAATATGGGGCACATATGAATTTTGCACAGGACACAGGAAGAAAATCCAGGAAATTGTGCCCCAAGAGGACATTCTGATCTTTCCATCTTAACAATGCCTGAGGAGGGTGCCCCACCTTGCTTTGGGGAACATTTGCCTCTTTACAGGCCAGAAAGAACAGCCTCCCCAAGCCAGACGCAACTGGCCGTCCATCCCGGCTCCAAAAACAGCAGGACTGCAGCATCCACAGCAAGGACATCATGTAGGAACGCAGTATTCTCCCTACTCTGGAGATACGAGGAGTGTGAGAAAAGCATCTTCGCACAGACCAGACCCTTCCCGTGCTTGAGAAACTCACAGGACAATTGGGACGAGGAAGGGTGCATGCACTGGATGTTCTAAGACCACTTCACTTGCAGAGGAGCCCCTGTGGAGGGCAAGAGGGGTGTGCAATGAGAGGAAGGGGTGCTTACACCTGATTCCCCAACGAAAATGCCAGCTGCTCCCCTCCACGCCTCGTCCTCCCCACACACACACTGCCGTGTTCCTTTTCAGGGCTGCACCCTGGATGTGTGTGGAGGGGCTCAAGACAGACTTGGGCAGGCCGAAACACTATTTTCATTAGACTCCACAGACTGCGTATACTACAGTTCTGCAACTTTGCTTGGTATAACTTAAACATGAAGTTAATTTTGTGTAATCTTGGTAGGCCTGTGGTTGGAAAGCTCCATAAACAGTAATCATAATCAGCTGTTCCTTTAGCATTTTGCAAAAGATGCAAATGTACCCGTTGAGAGAAGGGCAAAAGTGCTACACCCTTCTGACTGCGATTCTTCCACAAGTGCACCTCGACTCCCATGTGCGTAGTGTTACGAAGGCAAGCGGACGTGAGGACCCCCATGTTCCTTCGCAACATCTCTCTGGCCCTGAAGGGAGAGTCTTGTGCACTAAGAACACCCAAGATGCTGTCCCACAGAACCAAAATCTGTGCCTGTGCATGTAAGTCTTGTGTCAAGTAAATTGTGACATATGAACACACACTCACTACGTTAACAGCTTGTTTTCCTTCCACTAGTTCCAAGAAAAAAGAAACAAGGACAGAGGGCTTCTAGGAAATCATATGGGCAGCTAACTATAGTAGGAAGTGAGAACATCTGGAGTGGAGATATGGACTGGCAAAAGCAAAAGATCGCAAGCCACTCTCCGCTTTGTACATATAAACGACTGAAATACATTTGGGACCCCCAACATGAGCTTCCCGGACACATTCAGGTCTTCCTCATTTAAAATACTCGCAAGCCCATCATCACAGCACTAAGGACCAATCATCTGGCTCTTCCTGAACGGAACCAAAGACTTTTTGCCTGGTGGATGCTATCCTCAGTGCCAACTTACAGCCAGACAGCCAAAGAACCAGACATCCGGACCTCTCTAGCAGGGGGGCACTTCTAAAGGCATTCTGCACTGAAAAGGCCCAGTCAGCACCATGACAGCCCCCCAGAAGGTCCTCGCGTGCCGGTTTGCCCCCTCTCTGAAGCCACACTGGCAATGCTGTCGGATCTCTCCAAACTGGGAAGGTGGCTCTAAAACAGCAGAGGCAGTTCAGCGTGAGAGATGTACGCTTGTGCATGTCGGTGCAAATGTCACATATTTGCTGACGGGTTCTGAGCCGGCAGTGACTCACCAAGAAGGAGTTCTTAGGATTGTGGCGGCCAGCACTGAAAATACCGACCCAAACTGTGCAGCTACGTGAACATGGCATATTTTGTCTTGAGCAGAGATAGAAAAGGAATTGGAAAGAAAACTGCCAAGAACATATTGAGCTTATATTACACTATGGTGACCACACTTGGAATACTGTATACAGTTCTGGTCACCACACCTATAAAAGGGTATTCGAGAGTGGAAAAAATGCAGAAAAGGGCAACCCAAATGCAGAAAAATGCGCTGAAATAACAAGAAAAATCTACAGCATCTGGGGCTTTTTTGCTTAGAAGAAAGGGGAGCACATGACGGAGGCACTCGAACTAACGCATCGCACAGAGAAAGTGGCATCTTCCATCACACTGGAACTGGGAGTCAGCCCATGAAATTGAGTGGTAGGGCAGGAGACTTAGGAAAGATAAAAGATTTCTTCACGCAGTTCATAACCTATGGAATTTGCTACCACAAGATGTTGCAATGGCCACCAATTTGCTGCAAAGGGGGGTTCGACATAAATTCACCAAGAATATGGCCCTCAGGGACTACCAGAGACAAAGTGTGTTCTGTCTCCGGTAGGGGAGGCAGTAAGCTGCTGTATGCTGGCTGCTGGAGAACAAGCGAAGAGCGCTGTTGCTTTCGCGTCCGGCTCTGGGCTTCCCACGGGCAGCTGGCTGGCTGCGGGGTGAGCTGAACGTGGCTGCCCTAGGCAGACCCTTGTCTGGATCCTGCAGGGTTTTTCTTACGTTGGCCAGTTTGGAAGTGCTCCAGCTGTAATGTACAAAACACGTGAGACTAGTCCGGCCTCTGGGCTACAGCCCTCTTTTGTTCTTTCAGCACTATCTGCTCTCAGTGAGGAAGTATGTAAAGGGGAAATGAGGCAACAGCAGCAAATCTATAGAGCTTCAGCATACAGGGAAGCACCAGCAGCACAAGCCGCAACGCACAGCAGCTATTAGAATGCTCCAGTCCCAATGGCGGGGATGCCAGCATCCAGCCGCACCCTGCCAGCAACCCTGAGGAACTGGCACAGCCAGACCTCCTCTTCCCAAGACCAGAGGACCCACGACAGCTGCCTGGGCTCTCCAAGGGACACTCATCCTCCCCGGACCAAGAGCAAAGCAGAGTCCCAGAGCCACTGCCTGGGAAGCGGGAGAAGCCTGCATTGGCACCTGCGCAGGTCAGAACCAGGCTGAGGGCCAAGAAGGGCAGCACCTCCAGCGTGCGGAGTCTGAGCTGAAGCCACGGCCCCCTCAGAGCAAGGACTGAGCCTCCCGCATCCAAGGCAGACGGGCACCCAGAGAAAGAAGGGAGAGCGTGCGGAGCACAGGCGACAGGGCTGCACACTTCCACAGCAGACAATTACACAGGATTAGCTGAGCGGTTTTCTGATTCCCAAAAGCCCGGCGTGACTTGTCTGCAGTTTTCTCCTCCAACCTGCACCGGTGCCGGAAGTTGGCACCCGACCCTCTGAGTCCTGGTTCAAATCGCAGAGCAACTAGCAGCAATAACACACAGCATGCTGGTCTACAAACCCACATGTCTTCCTTCACATATTTTATGGATGGTGCATCATCTCCTGTTTTTAAGTTAGGTTTGATTGTACTGCTGTTTGCCTGGCAAGCCAGCCCAATGTGCTGAAAAATGCAAGAAATAAATTGCCCTCACCACTGTCTCACACAGACAGCCAATGAAGTGCAATCGAAGCCGACGGCCCAGCAAGGGCTTGGGGTACTTGGCCTGCTCCCTGCACACCTGTTGCAGCAGGGTTGGCTGCAGCCAGGTCTTCTTCCCCTTCCTGAGCAGACCCTGGAGACGGGGTCTTCTACCAGTCAGGCGGGTGCTCCAATGCTGAGCAGCCCCAGTTCATCACACCTGTGCACGGGGGTCCTGGGATGAGAGGTCAGAGTTTGGCACAGGGTCAAAGGAGCCCAGGTGAGGCATCCCTGCATCCAGACTCAAAGGCCTTGCGCCTGTGTTGGAGGAATCCTAACCTTCCTTTTCCAAAAAGGCCTTCCATCAACTTGGGTGGACGAGAAGCCTGGCAATTGCTCAGGGACCCTGCCATAAGGAGAAAGCTCAGTGGTCACAAAATGTGTGTACACACAAGGGCTCCCAGGGGTATAGCATTAATTTCCTCCGTATTCCAAACAAGCCTTTTAGCTGCTGCTCTCCTGAGTGTCTTATCACAAACCCACACAAATCAGTGAGAGGAATGGAGAAGCTGGCAAATCAGACAAGGGCAAGAGCTGTGAAGGCAAACATGGATAAGGAGAAAGGACCACATTTAGCCGACGTAAATGTCATACAGTGATTCTTCTGGAAATGAAACTGGCCGTTCCCGTTTCACTTTGTTTAAAGAATGCTTTTCTCATCAACAGAAGGTCCAAAGAATATCAGCTGCAGAAGGTGCTGTCTGGCCTCTTGGACTGTTTGATACTATAAAAAAAGGAAATTCACAAGATCCCTTTTGAAATGGCAAAAAAATGGAGCAAAGTTAAGGTTCCATGCCTGTTACAACTGCATTTCATAAATTCAGAACTGATCCCAAACACACTTAGCAATCTGTAAACAGCTTTTAAAAAATGCTAAGATTCTAGCTACTAAGGAAGCAAAGATGGGCTCAAAGGTTACATGTACAAGGCTTAGTAAACTAAACTAAGCGAACTGAACTAAAATTGAGGTGCCTAACTAGTAGAACTATTTTATATTTTATTCTTTTTATTTTATTTGGGCAGCTCTGGGTGTTTCTCTGGACAGCTCACAGCATAATAAACCATGTTTAGCAACAATTAAAACAATACAATTTAACCATAAAAGCAACCAATCAAATAACACTAAAATCAAAAAGAGGGGAAAGGCATAAAACTAAACACTTAATATATATTAAAATTACCTAATAACATTAAAATTATTCATAATATTTTTCTGGCATTAAAGTCAGAGTATGGCAGCAGCAGTAACGTAAACCATTAAAGGCATTAAACCAACACAGCTCACCAAGCAAAATTATCATGAAAAGGTAAATTTCTAACTGACGCCTGGAAGAATAAGGGTCTGGTGCTGGCCGAAATTTGGATAGGAGTGAGTTCCATCATGGGAGCATGATCTCCATCTCCCTGCTTGCTTCACTGAGGGGAGGAATACAGAGAAGGACCTCCGACGACAACCTCAGCGATCAGGTAGCTATGTACGGAGA